TTAGTGACCTTGTTAAGGCTAGGGAATGATTAGAGAACACGCGCGCGAGAGAGACGCAGCTGTGTCGCGAGTGCGGCGGCTTTAATTAGGTCACAAACCCCGCCTTCCACCCGCCAATTCGTTTGAGTCAAAGGTTACTTAGAAAAGTTGCGTTAATGAGGCAGTACATTCGCATAGTCTTGAACCAGTGAGCTCACCATTTGAGATCCATATCACAGTCGATTCTCACTAAATCTTGTCTGATACATTTCATGAACTTTGAGAATAATTTATATTGTTTCTTTTTCCATGTTTGAGTTCCAACATGCAAACAGGAAAACACAAAGGAGATGCTTCAATTTGGCTTGTTCTAAAGCGGATGATTCTCTGCCTCTGGCTATTGATGAACCAGCCTGAAGAAGTGTTGTGGGGAAGCGGACATCAGTCACAGCAGGAAGCGAATCATTTAAGCTCTAAACTCTCACTGTAAAGACAAATGATTGGAATCAGCAAAATATGATTAACAGTAGAGCACGAATACCACACAAAAAGAGAAAAGTCAAGCCCCAGGTTGGTATCAAAAGTCGTTCACACAACAAGAGAAGTTTATCTTGTATTTAAGGTTGCTTATGTCGTTTCTTCTTGGGATATGGTAGAAGTTCTTCTCGCAAGCGAACACTATGGGAATGACTCGCAACACACTGCTTCAGATGATTCCGTAAGTCAAGGAATTCATCTCAATAAGAGGAATTTTCGCGAACTTGAAACGAATATAAATGGTCTACCCTTTGCAAAGTATGGTATTCGCGGTGTGGTGGGCTCGAAGCACTTAGATTTAACCCGAGTAGCCAAGGCTCGCCCGTTTAAACGTACGACGTAACCTATCCTACTAACTCGCCCTAGCGCACCCAGACAAAGAATTAAGTACTAAGGTTTTATCCTTATGACATCAAAGAGATAATAAAGGATACATGAAATTTACAACTGAACTACGAAGAAAACTACTAAAATTAGGACTAAACTACTAAACGATAATAAGCTCAACACGGGACGAGCTGCCCCATCCCGTGCTACCAATGAAGCGCGCTAAAACTTTAACAAAAATAATGCTCCCGAGGCTTCACCTAAACAGATCCGCCGCGCGTCGCCGGATACCAGGCGCGACAGCCTCCCCGCTCCCGAAATCACAAGATTCTAATGTTTCAAGGCCAATGGCGCGTCTGAAATTAATCCCGAGACCTTGAATTTCAATTCACGATGGTTCTCGATATGCTCAACCGCACTGCAAAATTAACATCAGAAACGGGAACTAAATGCCAGGCACGAACATAATGAACATGGATGAGAAAGATAATCGATCGAAAAGAAAGCAGACAGACGCTGCAATGAGGCGCCGCCGCTATATATAGCCGTTTTGCTGGCAACGCGCCAAGACAAGGAGAGGTCCGGGGGCGATTGCGGCAGCGTGGGAAACAACCGTAATCGTCGCCGGATAGCGCGGCAGCAACCAGTGCTCCCGGCCTCCTACTTATAGGAGCGCTCGTATCGCGGAGCCGCGACACGCGGCATTGACTGCGAAAAGGTATTGAGTACTTCCAACGTCACGGTTAAGTGTTTTACCATTGTAACTTCAGTTCCGCAAGTTTCTAAGTGGTATTAAGGCCCAAAAATGCCATCTTCAATACGCATCGGTGAAATGTGGACCAATGACGTTTTCGTTTTGTATGGCGTTCGCATGTGAACCATTTGAATTTGCAAGAAGTACCCCTAGTCCATGGACACCTACTTCGACAAGTTCATAATATCTACTATCTACTGCGACCTACCGCAACCGCCAACGGAGAGATAGTGCATATGATCGCATATTTTGTATTAAATGAATTCTTGGCAATTTTGGTCCTACCCCACATTGCGAGAGCAACGCTCGATATCATTATCAAAAACTAGCTCGCCATGCTAATATACAGGGTGTCCCAAAAAAATGTATCGAACGTTTGATCGTTAATATCTCTCTTCTAAAGAAGTCTTTTCCATTGCTTCAGGTACCAATCTGTAGAGCTGGCTTCAACTTAGATTTCCATTATAGAACGAATCACCCATCTCTCTTCATTACTGTAGGATTACGGTAGAAACTTGAAACATATGATGTCAATGTGGAAAAAGCTGCCGTTTCAAAATTTTTCAAAAAGGTGTGAAAACTTGTGTATTGGGGTTTTTATGGACGCTGAGTTCAATATTCAACTACTCACAAGATTACGAAGCTTTCTAAACGGTGTAACCGCACTTTTTAGGAACATTGGAAAAATGGCCGCTACTCTTACCTAACATAACTCTTCAATGAAGCATCATAATGATTTGGGAACTTTACAGTTATAATCAGCAACTCTAATTAGCCTAGTGTAAAAGTTTTCAGGGCCGGTAGTAATCTACCCTACCTGGTGGCATCATAGATGCCGACAAGTTGGCACACGTCGCGGAAAGATGCCAACTCCGCCGGCAGCTCGCGGAGTGATTGTAGGTTTTATCAATCTTGTATAATCTCAGTACGCGGTTATTTCGCTCATCAAATTTTGATGACGTAGACAGCCGCAAAACTGCTGTCTCGCGCGCGGTCGAACCTAGGTGTGCTAACTTCAAGTGCCGACGCGTTACCACTCGACCATTCGGTCAGTCCTTGCTGTTTGCATCAGCAATGTGAGCAACGCACTGGTAAATGGCCGCCTGAAAGAAGGATCGATACATTGCGCGAGAGACTTTGACCTGAAAGAACAGCTGATTGATATGAGCGAGAGAGGGGCGAAATCGGTGCAAATAAGATTTAGAAAGGATTGCTAAAAAAGATGGTGTTCCTTATGGTTCTAAGGCATTACTAGATTTTTTCTCTGTTAGAAAATCGTCGTTTTAAACAAGAAAAACTCATATATTGAGAAAAATGAAAGTTTTTGGATGGAAAGTAGAATTTTTTGACATTTTCGCCTGACGTAAATCGTGTGATATCGCCGCAATTCGCAATCTCACAGACGCCGTCGGCAAAGGTGCCACCACCTCGACGTGGTAGGGGCACGTCGAGATGCCGGCAGCTCCCTCTCTCAAAAGAGCACGCTATTTCCCGTGCTCTCTGACCTGCCGGCAGCTGCCATCTCGCGGATTCCGCCAAGTTGCCGGCAGGTTGCCGGCAACTGACATCGCGAAGTTGCCGGCAGCTCCTCCTGGGATTCCAGATATTTTACTAAAGGAGGAGTTCTGGAGCCGCAGATTTTTATGAAGTTTTCTACAGAATCGAGGCGGCAACTTTATCGAGAAAATCTTTCGGAAAAAGGCCTAGGACGGCCTAAATTTGGGGTCTCTCTTTCTGGCCACCTCACGGAAAAGGTGCCAGCGAGCTGCCAACCAGACCTGCCGCCAGGTCGGGGGGATTACTACCGGCCCAGGTGTTTTCTTTCCTTTCTGGGGCAGAATATGGCCTTTCATTGCTCAAAACCTTCTTTGAAGTTTCTACCGTAATCCTACAGTACAGAGTGATTCGTTCTATAATGGAAATATAAGTTGAAGCCAGCTCTACAGACTGGTACCTGAAGCAATGGAAAAGACTTCTTTAGAAGAGAGATATTAACGATCAAACGTTCGGTACATTTTTTTGGGACACCCTGTATAACCAAGAAACAGTCTTTTCCACTGTTTAGCGATATGCAAAAATTTTTATTCAAAAAAACTCAATTATATATCATGGTACAAGTTGCATGATAGTTTGATCAAGCTTCTTCAGTTTCAGAGCAATATTACAATTCGATATACTGACACCTTTCGTTTCGCATCTGACCACTTTCGAAGTGTCATCGAGAAGACAAGCATAGGTTACTCAAGACATCTAGAGGAGAAATAAGTGCGTGCTGTGTCGAAGGCAAGAGGTCAATGGTCAAAGTCCGTTGAAGCTCTTATTTCATGGCGTCAAAAAATCTCTTTATTTTAAAGATGACCAATACATTTTTGTAAGTGTCTAAAACGCTTTCAAGTGCGTATCCAACTCACAATCAAAATGCCAAAGCGTTTGCTTCCACAGAAATCGAACCTTTGAATTTTCTCCTCTAATGCAAGCATGCTAAGCACTACACCAGGCCCATTGACGTTCACAGCAGTGTCCTCAAACTTGAAGCTACTAAAAACGGAACCTTCAGGTTTCCATAACTTCTTTCAAAGAGCGTTCCGCAGAAATGAAACGCCAATTTGGAATCAATGGGAACAAACTCTGTTCCAAAGATTTCTTTTTCGCACCTTTTGCATAAGCTGGTTTGAATCCAGGCCTATCAGCGAACCGTTCAACACCTGAGAGACAGGTCTGGCTAAAATAAGAATTCGGCATTTATGAGATATGTTGTAAACCGCTCATAGCCAGTTCGGCATTAGATTTGTAAACAAAAGTAGACCGCCTTAATAAGCACCTCAAATGTAAACTCGACACAGATTGCCAGCTACTTAGAGAGGAAAGAAAGAATCTTATCTTTCATTTCAGATTCCAAGATGATCTTAAGCTCGTGTGCTGTTCATATGTTGTTGAAAATGTTTTTTCTTGATAAAACTGTTTTATGCTCTAGGGGTCACGGCTTAACTCTTTATCCATGAAGTAACTCTGAAAATGATATCTTGCAAACCATGTTTTGGCCGGAAAGGGCATCCAACGTAAAGTTTACTCATAAGCCTGGCGGTTTTCTACTCGTTGTTGTGTCGGAACCCGCTATTTCGTTAAAATTAGCTGCATATCTTATACAAACGTATCAGATGTTAGACTTCGCTATCATCCAAACAGAATTTAAAATTCAGACTTTTGAGATGTAAGACCATCAAAGGTATTTGCATAACAATCAGTCCAGCGCTGTGCTCTTAAAGCATTTCTAAAAACAGCATGACGCTGCAGAATAACGCTCTTTTATTATCATTTTCCATCTTAACCACATTCAAATGATGTCTCCGTAAAAGTTTTATTTGGCGGAAGACATAAAAGCGTATGAAATGCACCATCAGTCATGGTAGTAAGTAAAATGCTTCTCATCTTCGTAGCGTACCTCTTTAGCGTAAGTAAAACTACTTTCATTTTATTTGGAATGCAAAATTTTCGCTTTGTATAAGCTTAAATTAGCCGGAATTGCCTAATTTTGCTTCGGCGTCCTCAAAGAAGAGTTCTATACCGTGCCGTTATAGGCTAGGCAAATGTGCATGCGCTATTAGGGCTCCCCTAATACTTTGAGAACTGCGTAGAAGGGGAGTAAATTCGCATACGAACCAGTTTGAGCCTATTTTTAACAAAGCCAACTTATCATCAACCATATTTTCTTTTCTATCTCAAAAGCGTTATTTTATTCCCTTGATAGATCCTAATGCAAACAACGCGAGTCAACATGTGAGTCAACATTGAGGAAAGTCTCCAAATTTAGGCTGCTAGGGAAACGGTGCTGCTCGATTGTAGCTGTTGAAACCACCAAACTGACAAAATGTTAAAAAAAGCAGTTTTTCAAACACAGCAAAGACCGACTTATTGAAGTTCGCAGCCCTTATTGAGAACAACGAATTGAGCCAGCTTATTCCAAACTTTCCCTAAAGCCGATTTTGCTGATATCAATGGAAGGAAAAAAGGCTTAATGCCAATCTCCATTCGTTTAGGTGCTGGAACAAAACATCAAAAGCTAACATTTAGGTCGCTTATGGCGCCTCTTCTTGGGATATGGTGGAAGTGCTTCTCGTGAGCGAGCACTATGGCCATAATTCGCAGCATTCTGCTTTAGATGATTTCAATGATCTTGCAAGTCTTATTTTTTCTAGTCATCTGCAATTTATTAGATATTTTTTACAGTTTGACGAGTTTGCCGAAAGTCAAGGAATCCATTTCAATAAGAGAAACTTTCGCGAGCTTCAAACAAACACAAACGGTTTATTTCTCGCGAAATATGGTCTTCGAGGCATTGATTGTGAAGGGGTATTGAATACTTTACAACTCTCAGAGATAGTACGACCACTGTTTTGCTTCAGTTCCGTAAATTTCTGAGTGGTATCAAAGCTCAAAAATACCATCTCCATTACGCATCGGTGAAGTGTGGACCAGCCACATTCTCCCTTTGCATGGCGTTCTCATGTGAACCATATGAAGTTTCAAGAATTGCCACTACTACAAGTGGAAACTACTAAACTACTTAGTAGACAGGCGCGATATAGCGCACATAATTGTATATTCTGGATTAAATAAAGTCTTGACTATCTTTTTCCTACCCTCCATTGCGTGCAACGCTCGACGCTCGATCATTTTCAACATTTTATATAAAACCACATTACAAGAGACAAGAGATTATTTATTCAAGAAGAGTCATACAACACGATGCCACTGTGCATCATAACCTTACTCTAACTCCTTCAATTTTTTAGCGACATTAGGAGTGAAGGAGCATATCACCACCATTTCTGTATACGCAGCTAGCCACCTTTAAAATGTCATTCTGTAGATGAGCGAGGTCGAGCCGAAGATATCTAGAAATCGTAAAGAATAGACATTGACATAAATTATCTACTATGATTGGAAGCCATCTGAGCCGAAGGCTGTCCCCATGGCGTGCACAGCTCTAGCGGTTCAAAACCTCACTGCCGTCTCTCTCCGGTCTTGCGTCGCGATAATGGAAGTATCCCTGGGACATTTTTCCATGCTGAGCCGCTTGAAGGCAAAGAAATTAACTCGAGGGATCGCGAATCCCTCAAGTAATTTCTTGTGCAAGACTGAGCGGCTCGGTCGTGAGAGCCTTGATCGCTATAGATTCAATTCTTTCACTGAGGAGCATGTTGAATAGGGTTCCTTGCTGGTATGTGCAATTGCACTTTCGTAGTATTTTTTTTATTTATTTACTTAATACGCTCTAGGCGTTCCATAACAAAAAAGGTTAGTGAAGCATAAACCACAACTCGAACAAAGATAACATCACGTCATCCCAAATCAGTCTAATCATCTTCTATAGAAAGATTGTGTCGGGTTAAGTTAGCAGAAATAAGTCAATACTTTGATAAAAACCTGGCATGTAAGGCTCAGTGGAGAAGAACTTATGCCCCCTCGTTTGCCAGCAAAGAACTTAATAATTTCATAAGGCTGGGTTCATACTGATTCCCATGTTCTGGAACAGTTCCCGCACAGTTCTCGCACTGTGCTGGAATGTGCGGGAACTGTGCGGGAACAGTTCCAGAACTGTGCTGCATGGGCTGCAGCCGCCCCGCACCGTTTTAAACGGCGGGAGCTGGAGAATTTTGATCGTTCTCAACGGTTCTTCTTTCGAATTTCTCTCATTCTGGCCTTATTGCTGCACACCGCTTCCCATTTTGATCAGCAGAACTTCTATCTCGAAGCGGGGTTGAAGAATGAGCGCTTTTCTGTTTTGTGTATGCGACAAAACTTGTTCTTGTGCTCGTCCATTCTCTCCTCGGCTATTTTTGCTCAAGACAACTTCATTTTTTCCAGGAAGCGGCTGCGTAGTTTCCAAAACCATCTGCCACGAATTAGGGAGAAGGAGCAATTCCGAAACTGCATGAAGGGACTTGTCTCTTGCTTTTGATGATTTTGGGCGTTCTCAGCCCCTTTCGTTTTCCATACCGTTGCTTGTTCGTTCTTTTTTCTACCCCGCTTCTCCTTATGATGAGAAAAGCTGCGAACTTGAAGTGGGGTTGAGGATTGAACGCTGTTCTCTTCATGTATCCGGGAACTTGCTTGGACTTGCTCGTCCATCTTCTCTGCCATTTTTGTTCAGGCCTTCTTCATGTGTTCTAGAGACCTATGTGAATTTCAATACAAATGCGAGACAACGCAGCGACCTGCTAGAACACATAAAGTAGGTCTGAACAAAAATAGCGAAAAGAGAATGGACACAGCTCATTTTCCTGGATACCTGGAGCTGAACAGCGTTCAATCCTCAACCCCGCTTCAAGTTCACAGCTTTTCTCATCACAAGGAGAAGCGGGGTAGAAGAAAGAACGGAGAAGCAAGGATGTGGAAGAAGGAAAGGGACTAAGAACGCCCAAAATCATCAAAAGCAAGAGACAAGTCCCAATTCATGCAATTTCAGAATTGCTCCTACTCCTAATTCGTGGCAGATGGCTATGGAAACTAGCAGCCGCTTCCTGGAGAAAATGAAGTTGTCTTGAGCAAAAATCACGAGCAAAAATTAAAACCAAAATCAAGAGAGAGTGGACAAACACAAGAACACTCATTTTGTCGCATACGCAGAACAGAAATGCGCTCATTCTTCTACCCCGCTTTGAATTTCGAAGTTCGGCTGATCAAAAATGGAAGCGGGGTGGAGGAATATGGCCAGAATGAGAGAAATTCGAAAAAAAAAACCGTTGAAAACGGTCAAAATTCTCCAACTTCAGTCGAAAACGGTGCGGGGCGGCTGCAGCGCATTCAAGTTCTGGAACTGTTCCCGCACAGTTGCCGCACAGTTTTAGCACAGTGCGAGAACTGTGCGGAACAGTTCCAGAACATGGGAATCAGTATATGAACCCAGCCTAAAAGCAAACCGGAAGTTCGGCTGGCGGGTATACTGGCAAGCCCCGCCCAACACGGTTTGTTGGGGAGGGTCCGAGACTCCGAAAAAAGCCAATATTGCACATTGGCAAGCTTTCACATCAGCAAGCTACACCCGCACAAATACGAGGTCAGAAAGTAGATTGCGCTTGAGCTACGCGACGGAAATTGGAGTTAGTAGGAGATCCAAGCATAGCGAAAAAAAGAAAAAAAAGTAGAAGTTATTTGACGAATGCACTGGTACAGTAGAGTAGCCCAACAGAAAAGTTGATGGCACATAATTGGACTGAGAAGTTTGAAGCGCAGACGGAGAAAAGAACGTAAAGCGTAAGCCATAATTAATCCCGCGCAACATACGTCATCAACAACTCGACAAAGAGCACTCGACGACCATACCTGAAAAAGAACAACACAGAAACGAACACAACAGAGAAAGGCAAAAGAAAATCCATAAGATGCAGATCTCGTCGCCCGAACAGGAAATTGGTTTCTACCTGAATTAGATAAACACAAAAAAGTCAATATAAGCACGAATCACTCTCAACAGACTTTAGGATTTCTGACTTCTGTAAAACTTTTTTAGCCCAACTACTTTTAGCCGACAGCAGTTTAGCAGGCAGTCGTCTAAACCAGCGAGCACAGCGATAGAATATAAAATTGAAAAGCCCAGAATAGCAGCATTTTCTCAGTCTGGGGCAGTCAAGATTAAAACCCCCCACTCTGCAACTAGCAGGTCTAAAAATCCAAAAGTTGCCGGCAGGAAGGTCAATTTCTCGCCGAAGAACCGCAAAACAAAAAACTAAGTCTGCAATAATCCTTCTGCGTTTCAATGATTTTAACCCAAAAAGTTTCAAGCGTTCACTATAATCAGGAATGGACCTTTCTTGCATATCATGTGACATACGAGAACAGATCATTTGTGTAAAAATATGTTAAACTTTCTCAATCTTCATAATTTCTTTCTTTCTGGAAGGATTCCATACTTGTGAGGAGTACTCAAGATGTGGTAATACATAAGCCTTATACAGTCTGGCAAGAATGACTGGGTTAGAATGTGAACACAAATATTGCAAAAAGTGCCGAATATGCTTTTTTTACAGCAGAATCAATATGTTTGGAAAAATCTAAGTGAGAATCAACAAAAACGTCCAAATCTCTGAGTAGTGGGCATGCTGACAAATCTGTCCCATCGATTAGTAGTAGTAGCGATACCCCGCAGGCATTTAGGTTAGAAGTGCATGCAACGTAATCATTCATGCTACCTCCGAGCATAATCCACCCGAACAACGGAGAATGAAAAAGAATAAAGTCTGCGCCTTGTCCTCGAAGGAGCGCCCCCATAAACTAAGGAGATGTAGAGCCTCTACATCAAGGTAATGGCTCCCTAGCCGACTGGTAACAGAATATGGAGCAAAATTACGCTGTAAATCTCGTGCTAACTCTGGCAGGGTTTCATCCTCAAGTTCAAATCTGAATAGGCCTAAATCTGCATATCTGGACTTAAGCGCCGAACCCAGATAAGCTAAATCCTTGGTTTTTCTGTGACTCTGCGCCTAAAATTAAATCTGATTTTTCATGCATTTGCCAAAGTGGTGCTATGCCGCGCCCACATAGGTAGTTGTATACTACAAACTTGAAGAAGTACAAACTAAATTTTCAGCTCTCTATCAGCTCTAGTTCTCGAGAATATCGAATACAGCTTTCCTTAGTCAGGTGGTCCAAGCTAAAATTTAAATTTCTCGAGAACTGAAGCTTGTAGAGAGCTGAAAATTTACGTTTTTACTTCTACAAGTTTGTAGTATACAAATACTTAAGTGGGGGCGGCACAGCACCACTTTGGCAAATGCATGAACATTTCCATTTTCTTGATTTCTAACAGAGAAAAAATACGGCAACGGCGTATAGGGATGTCATGTGGATTGGGTCTGAGTGAGCAAATGAAATGAGTTACGATTTTTCTCAATTTTTCGGGCAGTTGAATCTTTTTAGTTTCTGGCGCGAAACTCGTGGTGGATCAGAACTGTTGCTAAAGCAAGATTGCCATTTTTTAGAGCTTGCTTTGCTCTATCGAATGGTGCCTTGTAACCTATTTGGAAATGAGAAGTGTATGACTTACTGCGTTTGAAATTCAAAATCTGCATTAATTTCCGAACACCTAATACACAAAGTGAACACTTGAAAAAAGGGTCCTACAAGGGAAGTGCTATTGGCGAACCAGCTTTCTGACCAGGGTCAAGCGTGTGATGCGACTGTCGCAACGAGAGGTCTTAGGCCTAAGGCGTGCCTCACGAGATTTGGACAAATCGCCACTTTCACGCGACCTGGCGATATGCCAGATTTCTACAAATTTATCGTGCGCGCTTCTCAAACGCATAGGCGGGTAGCTTGTGTAAGTTGTCGCAAATATGTTAAGTTCTGACCAAAGGAAACACATTGAAGACGAATTACAGAGAGTCGCTGTTGTGCCAAATCGCGCAGCGACAGGAATCGCGCGAGGTATGTCTTAGGCCTTATGGTTAGAGCCGCAACTATAATGGGTGGGAGAGGGCATTGGGGGAGTCATAGAGAAAAATTTGGATGAAAATGTTGAGCAACTTCTCTGTGAAACATTTACAAATATAGAGACTCGCTTTATTTGCTGCAATTACTTTGCAGAAACATATGTTTTAGTGAATCCCAAGCCTCGTTTTCAATTCTGGG